AGGTTAGGCTTAACCAGTCGTAATCGTTACACCAATGGGGAAAGAAGGACCACGAGGGGGTATTTCCACGTAGGGAAGCTCTTCAGGGGCGTGGGGTCATGGGGTGTAGCCCCCCTGGTGTAACAGACCCACGTGAAACGCACCTTCAAAAAAGAAGAATCGAAAGTCAGGACGGGCGTTCCAGTGACTGGGATACGGACTCCTGATCAACCAAGCTGAGCAACAGAGTTGCTGCGTCTACTTGGCACAAGTGATTTCGCATCAATTTTGCACGTCAAAGGTAGCGAACGGTTGTCGGACGGTTTCAAGATGCTAGCTTGCCAAAAGAACGGCCAAAGCATCGCAGGAAAAGCATGGCAAAATTCAATCAACCCTGCAGCAGCATCAAACGACTAGGCCGTTCCATCCAATCAGAAAGCACCGACAGCTTTCATTTGATTGGAAAAGTACCAGCTTTCTTACCTGGCGGAGTATCTCAGCCGAGCCCGTCTCCAGATACACACGGACGCCACAAGCGGCGCTCAGAGCATAAGGCACGACGATAAACGCCAGGAGAAACCACGCGGACCAACCGCCCCAAATAGACGCCATGACGGCAACATCCGTCGCCAGATCGAGCCACGTCAGGAGCCCACGACCGAGGTTAAATAAGTAGGCACCCAGCGCAATCACCGGCGCTCGCTTCTTTCCGCTCGCGCCCTGGAACCGGTTCAGCCGCGCCGCGACCCACCAGCCCACCGAGCTCAACAGCATCAAAGCGGCGAAGACGCCGTACGTAACGCCCACCACTGTTCCTGCCTCCGGGTACCGCACAGGTTGCCCTCTTGCACGCGCGCAAAGCTCACGCCGGTGTACGCGGACCCCCCGCGCCCCAGGTCGATCTTGTCGATAAAGTTGCTCTCGTTGAAGCGGTACTGCGCCCCCCGGCTGTTGCCAAGGTAGCTGTTTTTAGGCGCTCCGTAGGGGAAGACCACGACCGGCGCGTCCCCCTCCAAGAACACCGAGATCCGGTTGAGGCACACCTCCTCTCTAGTCGCTGCACTCAGCTTGGATCCCGTACCCACCAGGTTTACAACGCACCCCGAACTGGAGTAGCACGCGTCCCAAAATACGATGTCGGACACTTTGCCGTGGGTGTAGCTCACGTAAGGGCAGGTAGCCGGCAACGCCCGGAGGTCTAGCTTCTTGCCGGCCCGTATCTTGTCCGACCCTAGTTGCATGACACGCAGGTCAGGCGCAACCAAAGGAGCTGTCCCCGTGAAGGTCAGGTTGGGAAGCGCGATCACATCGCGCCCGCTGAAGTTGGCTCCCGGAAGCACCGCTAGAGGCCCGTTGTTGCTCAAATCCAGCGCTCCCGAGAAAGCATCAGCATCTGCGAGGGCCCCCCCCAGGTTGACAAGAGCTGGCGGCAACCGGATAGAGCCCGAGAGGTCGTTGTTGGATAGGTTGAATGTAAGCATTGACGAGGACAGTTGCTGGACCTCAGTGGGGATGCTACCATTGAACTGGTTGGAAGACAGGTCTAGAAGGAGGTAGTTCAGAAACCCTTGTGTATAATCGGGTTGTTTCATCTTGCCCACATATGGAGGGATGGAACCGGAAAGGCGGTTGTGGTCCAAATATAAGCTGCCCAACCCGTCTCCCTCAAACCAGACCGGGGGAATAGTCCCGCTCAGAGAGTTGTAGCTCAGGTAGAGGCTGAATAGGTTAGAGGTATTTTTACTGGAAAGGGGAGCGAGAGAGCCAACCAGACTGTTGCGCCTCAAGTCTAAGTGCTTCAGGTTGCTGAGTTGACCTAGTTCCGAAGGAATTGGCCCACTGAATCCACAAGAGCTCAGGTTCAAGTCGGTGAGGCTGGTTATATTGCCAAGGAAAGGCGGAATGGTCCCAAGGAAAGGATTGTTGGCCAAGTTCAGCGTTGAAAGCTTGGGCATCTGGCCTAATGACGTAGGAAATGGGCCCCACTAACTTGTTGGAAGCCAGGTTAAGCGTGGATAACTTGGTCATCAGTCCGATCTCTAAGGGGATAGGGCCTTCGAGCTCATTGGAGAATAGGTCCAACGAAGAAGATAGCGCGGTAAGATTCATAATCCCAGGGGGAATAGGCCCACTGAACCGGTTACAAAGTAAAGTTACTGAAGTCAGATTCTTCAACTTGACCAGGATATCTACAGGCAGTGGCCCTGACAGGTTGTTTGGCCCGAGGTTTCTGTTGGAAATGAGGGCTAGCTCTGGCGGCACCGTCCCCGAAAAGGAGTTCCTACCAAGATAAAGCCAAGTCATTCTGGACCAGTTCTTGATGCAGGATGGGATGGGCCCACTCAGGTTGTTACTGAAGAGGGACAGATCATCGATAGTCGGGATCTGGCACAGGGTAGGAAGGACTTCATCCCCAGAGAGAGCGTTGTATGACAAGTCCACCTTTCGGAGCTGCACCAGGTTCCTCAAGTTGCCAGGGACTGAGGAGATATTGTTGCTTGGTAGCCACAGTGTCTGGAGCTTGGTTAGACCGCCGATAGCAGCAGGCAGGGGGCCCGATAAGTTGGCCTGTGTCATTACCAACTTAGTCAAATTGCTGAGGCTTCCAAGAACCGCCTGGATACTGTCCCCCACCTGGAGATTCTCGTTGAGGGAGAGGGTGAGAGAAGCCATCTGCGAAAGGGTGCCCAGGCACTCCGGAAGACGGCCTGTCAGCTTTGTGTAGGACAATTCCAGTTCTTGAAGCTCTGACAAGCGACACAGCTCCGTCGGGATAGAGCCATTCAGTCGTGGCAAGGTTCCCAGTTCAAGTTCCTTAAGTCGAGACAGGTTGCCTATCCAGGCTGGTATGGGGCCTTCCAGAAGGTTGACCCCGAGTCGTAACGCCTCCAGCTTGCGAAGCTGACCAATCTCGGGTGGAATTGGGCCTTTCAGCTTGTTGTAGGTAAGGTTCAGAACCCTCAGGTTTTGCAGCTGACCAATCTCCGGAGGAATGCTGGTTACATTGTTCAACCAGAGGTCCAGGACTTCCAGGGCTGTGCAGCGGCCAATCTCAGGGGGGATGGGGCCTGTTAGACGCGTATAGTTCAGGTAGAGCTCGGTATGTAACGATTACGACTGGTTAAGCCTAACCTCGTTCTCGACAGGATTTCGTTGACCTGCGGGTTAGCGAAACGGCGGTGGTTACGTCTTAACGACGCACTGCGTGGCGGTCTGCAAGACGCCGT